TGGCTGCGTTCAGCAGAGAAAGCAGCTTTGCAACTGTTGTAAAATTCTTCAATACGATTGGTTCTTGCTTTTGGTTCCTTACAGATCTAAATGTATAAACCAATCATATTAAAGAATTTTACAACAGTTGCAAAGCTGCTTTCTCTGCTGAACGCAGCCAATGCTTGCGACGCTGCGATGCGACTAATGTAGAACCAGCTTAATATGACTGCTTTAATTAAGTGGGGGTATCACCAATCAGAAATCGCGACGCCGATGTCGCTTCTCTCATAAGGACTCTACTGCCATTACTTCTAGAGACTTTAGTGTAATACATGCTTTGTGGTGCTAGCAACGGTCCAGCCGACTCCGGAGTGACTGCTGGTGACCAACCAGCCATTTTGTTGAGTGCGAGAGGATGCCATCGATCTCCTGTTTGTTTTACTTATTACTTATTTAGTGAATAAATTGATATAATTGTGGTACAATAGTTCGCGATATTTCGCCAGAATGACGCAGTTCTTACCGCCAAATTTGTTGGCATTGTTTTCGCCGCGCGAACCGATTCCGTATTTGCCACCTGCTAGCAAACTTCCGCATGAGAAGAAAAACGGTGGTTACGCCGGCGTCGGGATCTTTCTCAAGTATTTCGAGGTAATAAATGTACATTATGTATTTCTTTCAAGAACATCTTATTTCATTATTTATTTATTTTAATCCTTGCTTTGCGGTTTAAAATGATTTCCAGAATACACTTTACATTTTTACATATATATATATATTTATACTTTTAAAAATATTTTGTCGATCGCATTACGATATTCCTCCTTTTGCATCTATTTGTATCATGTTTATACATGCAAAGTGTTTCTTCATATTACATATAAATTGCTTTCCATTCACATAATGCTCTTTTACTGAAACTCTCTAAATATATGAGTTCAAATTGACAATTCCAATATAGTAAGTTAATAAATGGAACTATCTTATCGTATGTAGAAATTGATGTGGGCAATATACAGAATATCCTGTTTTATTTTAAGCAGACGATTTTCTCTGAAATTATTGACGATAAAAAAAATGTTTTAGATGAAAGAGTGAGATGGAGACGTTTCCATGTTTTGCTCACATTATTTTTTTTCAGTGGAGATGCCAAAAAGATACGAAATTCACCACCAATTTTTTAAATAAAATTATTTAACTTTCTTTTCACGTAATATGATTTCTTTAATTGTTCTGCGTATAAAAATATTAAAATAGAAATATCAAAAAATTGAAATAATTTATGAAATATTTTATACTTTATACCAAAATTTGACAGATTGAAGTATAAAATATCTCGTAAATTATTGATTTTTCAATAACCTTACTTTTATATGCAGAATAATTAGAAAAATCATTATGTGAAAAAATTATATAATTTTCCTTTAAAAAGTGAAGGTGACTTTCATATCTTCTTGGTGACTATACTGAAAAAAAAGTGAGCAAAATACATCTCGGTTTCATTTTTATCTAAGACTTTTTTTGCATCATTAATAATTTCGGAGGAAGTTGACTATTTAAAATAAAATAGGATTTCCAGTACATTGTCCATATCATTTCTATATACGATGAGACAATTTCCATTTTTCTATTTATGCATCTTTTTTTATCTTAAATTACAAATTTGGAGTTTATTCTTACAATCATATATAATTATATACAATCGTATAATCATCATTAAGATGAGTTTTATTCCTTTTGCTTTATTAATATTTTTGATGATAAAAAATATAAATATCTTTTTATAGGATCCTAAGGATACTCCACCACCTGTGCGTGTAGAGACTCGAGAAGAACGATTGGAGCGTAGACGAAGAGAACGTGCAGAACAAGTTGCATATAAACTCGAACAAGAAATAGCAGTATGGGATCCAGCTGGCATTTCCAATGTTACGGCAGATCCTTTCAAGACTCTCTTTGTAGCTCGAATTGTATGTATTATAATACTGAGCAAATATAATAACGAAACTATAGATAGTAGAATACATTTTTGTGTATATTTATTTCTTCTTACTTCTTACACTATTTCTTTCTTTTACAGAATTATGACACCTCAGAATCTAAACTGAGAAGAGAATTTGAAGTATATGGACCAGTAAAAAAGGTAAACTTTCTAAGGATGAATGGTTTTTTTTTTACTAAAGTTTAATAAAAACAAAATTAATTCATTATCAAATTTCACTTTTTGCAGATTGTGGTAACACATAATACAATTAATGGCAAGCCTAGAGGATATGCTTTCATTGAGTATGAGCATGAAAGAGATATGCACTGTAAGTAGCAACGACTTAGAAAGGTAAAAAAAGAAATATTAATCTTATCGCGAAGCTCAATGAGCCCCATATAGACTGGAATTTCATCTTATTTAGTGTCACTTCCAGCTAGATATTATGGGGGCAGGGCTATAGTTAGGCTACTCATTTTCATTGGTACTTAAACTAGACTGTACCGTTTGGGAAGGGGGGTCCCCGCCATACGCACACCTATGCAGGAATACCGTTCTGTAAATGCATAAATATGGTAAAAGCGAAACGAACAAACAAAAATAAACGACGTGAACGTTTATTGGCTATCTTTGATTAATGCAGTTTTTATCTTGTTCTTGGTACAGCGTGGTGGCCGCTGCCGGCAACTAGTGCCATTCACTATTCCATGCAAAATCCCTGAACCTGCCTGATAAGATAGGTTTGTATGTGTGGTAAGATCCAACATACAACAACGTTTGTTAGCGTCTACTTGCTTATCCTATTTATCGTGTCTGATTTTGTCGAGTAACACGCGGTTTCAATCGGATTATAACAGATTATTGGGTGTCCGAGATGACACCCTCAAGGTTCTTTACGGGATTTTTCGACCCGAAATTTTGACGCGCGCGCGAGTGTGTGTGTGTGTGTGTGTGTGTGTGTATATAATATACATATATATATACATATATATACATTTGGGCGACATTTTTTTTCTCTGAAAACATGTCCCATTAAAACTGTTCATGGATTCATGGATCTAGGATTCATGATATTGTGTAAGCGGCTCGTAGAACATTACAGCTCGTAAAATTTACGGTCATTAATATCTATGGATCCAAGAATCGCGTGAAAGTTAGCATTCTACATTGAAATTGATTGGTGGGCCTTTAGGATAAAGGTTCAGGGACACATTATCATTTATATAAATGAGTGCAATGAACATGTAGATCAGAATGTTTTGTACAAATATTTCTGGTTTCGTAGACACGAATAGCAGGATATTTTATAATTGATGCAATCACTGTAATTCTGTGGCTTGAAGGTAGAAAAATTAAGATGTTATATGTAAAGAGACGTTTATTTCTACCTTCATGTCGTAGAATGGCATTAGTTCTTTTAGTATTATGATGCTAATATCCTATAAAATAGGATGAATTTATATCCGACGGTATGTATTGTTATATAAATGAATTTACATAAAACGTGTAATTAGTCTACGCGCTTTTTCTAACAATTTTAGAGTAAGATGCACATTTTTGGATTTTATTTATTTATTAGTTTTCGTATGCAGTAGACGTTTTAAAGTATTAGTTTTTAATTTGAAAATTCCATCATACGAAATATAGGGATTAAATTAATTCCTGAAAAACCGCGCTATAATCGATAACAGTAAAATATATATACATAATATTTACCATTTGAATGCGTGAAAATAATCCATTGGTAGATGTAAACACAAAATTTGCATGAAAGTCAGAGATGGAGAGCAAAATATAAAATATGCGACAAGACTATTTGTTTGAATATTATAGTTCAAGGATGTCCAATTTTTGTCTTAATATTTGCTGAAAAAAAGCGATTTCAAATATAAAACAAGTCCTTGAACATATCAATTTCGATATAGAATACTAATTTCTCTTATTCGGTATTAGTTTCTTATTTTACAATATCACTTGTTGCGAAAACATAATTTCGGACAATGCATACGCAACACTTGCGGATTGTAGAATCGTTGGATCCTAATTTTCTGAATCATCGAAATGGATATCTGGCCTTCGTTGATTCTAAAATTTTTGGATTTTAAGATATCCGAGAAATGTAGAATATCGTAGGCTTTGATTTACAAAGTTGGATCTTCGGATCTACGATCGTGCAATATGCGACGCGCGAGAAATAACGATCGATAAACGACATTTCCTCTCTCCCTCTTTCTCTCTCTCTCTCTTTCTTTCTCTCTTTCTCTCTCTCTCTCTCTCTCTCTTTCTCGAGTTAGGGAGATATCGAATTAGCGGAGCGAATAGGCAAATGTGCCTTTAACATTACGCTAAATACATATAACCTATTGCTAGATCATTATAACATATCATAAGTACATATAAAATGCGCACGGTTTGATCGTAAGTAGAACGAAATAAAAGCGCACCAGGTAAATGCAATGTAAACTTCTTCGGAGATTGAACGAACAAACGAATGAACGTATGAAGACTGGGCATCTTCGCAATGAGTAATCTCCTCGCGAGTCTCTTACGAGTTCATTTCATGATTAGACCGTACCTCTAAGCTTTGTGTTAACTTCCGTACGTAAGTAGCCGCGGTAGGTATTTTTTGTATTTGCTATACTTTTTTGGATCATAAACAAGTAGTTTTAAGCTGCTTTCTGAAGCATCTTTTGCTTCCGATCGTTGTCAGTTGCAGCTACGGCTTGTGACGCATCCTCGTTTTACATCGTAAAATGCAATTTAGGACATTAAACTGGATTTTAAGATTGTTATGTATTTTAGGACCTTTGGAGGAAATTATTTTAAGAAATTATTAATATTTCTTATAAAAAAAAGGAAAGTTTAAAAACATTACTTGATGCAAACGTATAATTGTGGTGATAAAATTTGTACTGTTTTTTACTCAAAAGTCTAATTCTCAAATTTATAAGAAAGCAATTAATTTCGATTGCCAGCGAAGCGTTTTTCAACTTTTTTCTTTCAAAGAAATTGTTTCGTAAATTTCATATCATATGGAAACAATTTTTCTTTTATATTCTAATTTGCAGAAGTACGTTACACTATTTTAAACTAATGTCAGATACTTATTAAATATTTTATTAACTTTCATTTTACTTGGTAAAACGACACACGCCAACAAGCGAATGTGCGCGCGATTGGCTGCAGCTTGTATTATTACCTCGTTATCCCAACATCGTTTACAATATTCAACAATGATTCAAAGTCTGATTGATCCTGCTGTATAATTAGCATCAGCGATTCAGATGGAGATGTTTCCTCAGTACTTTAGCAAGTACTTCTTCTCGAGATATCTGAGACAGTATAATGTCATCACTAACTTGAGATTTATGAATTTCTTTCAAGGTTTATCGTTCTTTGAAACGAGTATAGTTCGCATTCTACTTTATCATGCAACATTATAGGCAAATTTAGTCGATCCTCTTCCTTTCTTCTTCTTACGATTTCCTAGTTGAATTTAAAATATTTCTTTTTCGAGAAAGGGTCTACGGAACCGATGGTCCTTTAGATCTAATAATATATTTAATTTGCAGATTAAAGTATCATGTATTTAGAAACATTTAATCCTAAGATTGATAAATCTATGTTTACAGTCTTTAAACTCACAAATTCTCGAAATCATGAATATAGATTAGAAATTTTATAAGTCCAGGTAGTTCACAAATCCGAAAATCTATTTTCTTTAGTTGAGATTCAATATCAGTTAATCTTTTGCTTTTTTTTTTAAGTTCCGTAGATCTGAAAATTATTGGACCACATTATCTATGGTTCAATACCACAGAATTTTAGAAGCTGTCTCTTCGAAACTCTGAGTCTTGGAATATATATATATTCGAAGACTTGAATTCGAGGATCAGTGGCTTGGAGATATTGTGAGAATCGTGGAATCTTTGTTTATTAAGAAACGATTCTCGAATCCAGTAACGCCCGATTCTAATACCCCGACAATTTAGGATCAATTTAGGATCTCGATATTGGCCGATTCCAGGATTCACAGTCTCAGGAATCATCCTGTTAGGTTTCTTGGAGTTCGCCCTTTCGTTGAGATGTAGACTTCGTAGACAATCATTTAGGCGCATGAATTTATTAGCGAACAGTAATTTCTAATCGGTACATTTTAGCTGCATATAAGCATGCGGATGGTAAGAAAATAGACGGCCGCAGAGTATTAGTCGACGTTGAGCGAGCGAGAACGGTGAAGGGTTGGCTGCCTCGAAGACTCGGCGGCGGCTTAGGTGGTACTCGTAGAGGTGGTCCTGACGTCAACATCAAACATTCAGGACGGGAAGATAATGAAAGAGAGCGGGAGCGATATCGCTTGGAACGTGAGAGAGAAACCTCAGGACGTGGCCTGGATAGAGACAGGTGAGTAGTAAGAAATGAAGTAACGAGTAATAAGATGTAAAAGAAATTATATGTATTCGCGCTTTACTCCTGTTACCATAAGTATAAAACTCAGTCGATCAATTACCACGCGCATCTCTAAACGACTCATTAATGGTGGGATCTACACTGCAAGAGGATCTTTTTTCCATTTTGATCAGATTCCGAACGTTCAAAATTGCTCTTACTGCCGACATAACAAAAATGTATTGGCAAGTTCTGGTCGATTCAACTCAAACATCATTGCAACGTATTTTCTGGCGAGAGTCCCAAGATGAGCCCATCAAGACATTTGAATTAAGCACTGTTACCTATGGCACTTCATCAGCATCATTCTTGGCAGTCAGAACCCTAAGAAAATTAGCGGAGGACAATGCAGATCGCTATCCAAGAGCGTCAAGATTTCTATGTAGATGATCTCGTCACTGGGGCTGATTCAGTAGAAGAAGCTTTATCCATTAAGAAGGAAATTGCTGCAAGAGGGAAAATTCAAGCTTAGGAAATGGTCATCCAATGCTCCCAGCCTCCAGGATCAGTACTCCTCCATCGAGCAAAAAGAATTTATCCTATCTTCTGACAAGAAAAGAACACTAGACATTGCATGGAATTGTCGAGTCGACGTATTCAAATATTCATCCATCAATCATCTGCATCCTCTTGAGGCGCCTACAAAGCGAAGTATGTTATCACGTATCTCTCTCATTTTTGACCCACTGGGACTTTTGGGTCCGGTTACATTACTCGCTAAGATTATCATGCAGGATCTCTGGCGATTCAAGCTCGATTGGGATGAATCGATTCCTTTGGAATTTGATACAAAATAGAAGCGTTTTGAAACGGAGTTATAGGAACTAAATAGCATACGCATTCCTCGCCTTGTCACAGCTACAGAGCAACATACCTGTCTAGAACTACATGGGTTCTCGGACACTAGCGAAATTGCATACGAAGCTTGCATCTATTTACGCTCCACTTCAGTCAATGATGTCTATTGCACACGCCTACTCTGCTCCAAATCTAGAGTGGTACCATTGAAGAGTTTGCCACTTCCGCGCCTCGAGTTATGTGGTGCATTGCTACTAGCTCAGCTCATCAGTAAGATATCGAAATGTCTTACGTGTCAAATATTCTCCATTTATCTATGGACGGATTCTACAATTGTACTATCATGGTTGCAAACGTGCAGTAGATCATGGTCAACCTTTATAGCACATCGCATCAGTGAGATACAGGAATTAACATCAATTCATCAGTGGAATCACATACGCAGTGAGGACAATCCTGCCTATTGTCCCGGAGTATCATGCCGGAACTATCTCTAGCTCAATTAAATATCTGATGGTCTGGGCCTTCCTGGCTGGGATGTGACAAAGAAAGCTGGCTTCAAAGAGCTCTTCCTACTAATATAATCAATATCCCTGAACGAAAATCTAAGGCTATCGCCGCGGTAGCAACTAGTACACAAAAACCTGACATATTTTATCGCTATTCAAACTTTACCAAACTCATTCGTGTCTTTGCGTACATGATGCGTTTTATAGAAAAGGTCAAAGGTGCAAAAAGTTCATCCGACAAAGACATCATCCTCGCGGAGTAACATTATGCAACCGATATCTTTCAACGAGCAACAACAAGCAATTTATCGTCTCATCAAGGCAATACAATCGAAGCACTTTTCGAAGGAAATAAAGTCACTCAGCAATCACAAAGCCTTTCCCACAAACAGTCCTATCTTGAAATTGAACCCATTCCTTGACGATTCCGGCATCTTACGCGTGGGGGATTGTTTGAAGGAATCCTCCTTATTATATTCATCCTTATATTGCCTTATGCATCTAAGCATCCCATGCTGTTCCATCTGGGAATCATCCATTTTCCTGCCTAATTGTAATGCATGAGCATAAGAAACACTTTCATGCCAGACCGCAAGCTACTTTGGTCGCGGTGCGTGAGCGCTACTGGCTCATCTCAGCACATAACATCATTCGACAAATTCTCAAAAAATGCATCGTCTGTTTTAAAAGTTCGCCAAAACTTGCTTCCGCCATTATGGGAAATTTACCGGAGCCGCGGGTTAAAACCTCCCTAAGAGTATTTGATCAATGTCGAGTGGACTATGCCGGCTCTCTCTACTACAAGGAAGGTGCTAGAAGAACCACTAAGCTAGTGAAATGCTACATTGCAATTTTTGTTTGTTTAGCCACCAAGGCAGTCCATATTGAGTTGGCATCGAACTTGTCGTCAGAAACATTTCTAAATATCTTCAAGCGTTTCGTAGCGAGAAGAGGTTGCCCTTCAGACATTTTTTCTGACAACGGACTAAATTTCGTAGGCACCGAACGCGAATTAAGCGAATTAAGAGACTTATTTTGTAATGAGCTAACTCAAATCCAGAATCAGATCGCAACCCTAGGAGTTCACTGGCACTTTATACCGCCTCGTTCCCCACACCATGGAGGTCTATGGGAAGCAGCCGTGAAGGCAACCAAGCGACACTTAACTCGCATAACAGGGAATGCCAACCTGAAATATGAGGAGTTGGAAACATTATTCATCCAGATTGAAACAATATTAAACTCCCGTCCATTCACACCTATTTCCGCAGACCCCAACGATTTCATTTCACTAACTCCAGGACACTTTTTGGTGGATACATCCCTCACGTCTTATCCCGAGCCATCCCTGGATAAGATACCCGTAAACCGTCTTTCACAATGGCAATATATATGTAACAATTGCGTCAACACTTTTGAAGGCGGTGGACACATGAATATCTTCAGCAATGCCAGGAACGTAACAAGTGGCAGGTAAACGAGCTATCAATACATATCGGTCAAATGGTTATTATCAAAGAAGACAACATCTCTCCGTTATCATGGCCTTTGGGAAGAATTCAAAAATTACATCCAAGCAAGGATGCCATAGCTCGCGTTGCCACGGTGCGTACCGCTAATGGTAGTTACAAACGGCCTATTACCCGTCTCTGTCCACTTCCAATTGAAAACTAAGGTCTGGTTATGACATTTAAGTTTTAATTCTATAATATTCACATTAACTATACTCATTTATACACTTTATATAATACATTTATATACTTTTTGCGTTTAATTGTTTTGATAATTCTTGAACATGATGTTATTTTTTTGTCAATTGCAATCACTTATCTTTTTTGAAAGGCGATCCTTTCAAGGGTGGCGGTATGTTCGAGCTTTACGCCTGTTACCATAAGTATAAAATTCAGTCGATTAATTACCACGCGCATCGGATAACCGATTTCTCTATAGCGCTTCAGTGGTACTGCTAAGACCCAATTAGAAGAAGGGATGCACGCGGACGTAAGGCCAGTAGTCGTAGTCGCTCGCCATCTTCCGTGTGAAGCAGTGCCATTTTTTGTACAACGCGAGTCATTGTAAAATATGTTGTAAGAAACATTAAAGTATATTATTACATAAACCGCATTTCGTTTCGCGCTGCCAAAACCACATTGGGCGCGGCCACAGGGCAAGAGACAGATCTCTGGCAATTCACAAGGCAGGAGACACAGATCTCTAACAAGTCACAAGGCAAGAGACACAGATCTCAGGCAAAGAGAAAATTGCGTTCCACTTAACGCAAAAAGGACACAAGGTCCTTTCCCTAACAATATGTATATAAATTGTTGTTTTATTATTTCAGAGATCGTGACCGTTTAGATAGAGAACGTCGCAGATCACGCGATCGTAAGCGAAGGACTAGGAGTAGATCACGCGAACGCAGACGCAGACGAAGTCGCGACCGACTGCCGGATCCCGATATTGAAGAAATCGACCGTCCACGTGACAGAAGAGATCGTGATCGTGATCGCGATCGGGATCGCAAAAGGCGGCGGTCGCGAAGCAACGATCGCGATCGCGATAGGGATCGTAAACGAGACAAGCGGGATAGGGATCGTGATCGTAGGGACAGAAAGGATCGCGGTGATCGTCAGGACGAGGATACGAAAGAAATCCGTATTAAGGAAGAACCGTTGGATGGTAAATTTGAAAAAGAGATAAATTTCATGTTTTTAAAAATATCGATATATTTTAAAAAGAATGAATATCCGAATGTTAAATTCTTCTAGATTATCCAGACTATAGCACTACATTTACGACGTCGGGCTCATATTTCACCGCAGTCAAGTACGAAGATGATAATGATCAGGAAGTGGAAGAGAAATACCGGATTCCGGAGAGTCGTTCCGATCCACCAGCATATAATAATTACGATTCCGTACAAGATTATTGATCTCGAACAGTACATGTTTCTATCGTATCCCTTTTTCACAATAAGCCACCGCTTTATTTTATCGTTGCATTATCTTTATTGTTAACATAATACTGGCGAATTAGCCTTTTTAAGAGCGAATCAAGTTGAACGCTCTTCAACTATGAAGTATTCGGACAAAATTATTATAAATATCATAAAAGGATTACACAAATTCTGTAAAATATCTAATTTCTGCAAAACTTTCAAAATATATAATAGTAAATAAAAAAGAAATAATTTATATATTACAATGAAAATTAAAAAGAGAAAAAATACGAATTTACATTATCTAGTAAATTAAATTTTGATATAAGAAGCCGTTGAAAATGTTGAATAATATTGCTGTATATATATATATATATTATACAATATAAAAACGGCAATATAGAAACGAATGAAAATTATGTACAAATATCGCTTTATCGTCTCTAAAGGTGATTGGCATTAATTAAACTATTATGAGGAAATCACGAAAATTATACATATGCAACCATTTATGTTAATTTGAAATACACTCTGCCTTTTTTCTCCCTTTTTTCTTCCTATCATTGATGAGAGTATATTTACAACAAAAAAATCTTCAGCATACTTTAATTAATTAAAGAGCAACTAATGTATTGTAGCAGATTATATGAAACCTCATAAAAAGTATGTACTCATAACTGACTAAATATTACATTGTTCAAAAAATAATTTAATTTAAGTATCGGCCATTTACATGTGTAATCGCACCAACGTAAAACACACTTTAACTTTGACTGCTACATGTATGTATTAATACGTCGAGTAAAAATAAAATATAAAATTAAATTGTTACACATGCTGTTTCTTGTTCTAAACATCAGAAACTATCCGAGTATATTAATATATTAATTTTTAATTTTTAACTTAAAAGTTTGACTTTCAGGTATAATATACAGCAAAGGATAATGTCAGTTCGCGAAATAAAACGCAATTTTGATTTTATACCCAGATTGCTCTGCAATTCTAGTAATCGATTTGTATGAGCTTGATCGCTTGATATACCAGAAAGCCACGCAAGTGTCAAACGATTTCACAAGCGAAATAAAAGTGCGATCGACTTAACAAATAAAAAAAATATGCAGTGAAGAATAAAAATATTTCTTACCTATTTTTTCTCAAGTATGATTTCTAATAAGATATTATATTAGTTACATTGCTATCATGTATTAATTATTTAATAATCTAATAATATTTTTTGAAATTAGAAATATACATTAAAAACTTTTGTTTCGCGCGAAATGAGATAATTTGTTCAACTCGCTTATTTTTAATACTTTGAATATTTTTAAGTTTATTAATTTCCGATATAGCATTCACACACAATATCAATATGCTAAATTTAAGAGACTACAATATTAAGCGACGGGTGGAGAGGAGAGGAGGGGGAGCGTCATCATTAATTGACACAAATGATATTATTCCTTGAACTAATATTCGTTGCGAATTTTTTATCGTCTTGCTATATTTCTGTTAATTATTGTTCGATATGTGTGTGCTTACATTAGCAATTGCCTTCCGGAAATTGCAATCTCATTATTTTTCAATGTACTCCGAAATTACATCTTTATCTATCGCGTTTGTCATTTTAAAAAATCAGTAACAGTAAATTGTACTCTTATCGATCCTGTAATGTATTTTAGTAATCTTTTTGATTATTCTCGACACACACTGAGAGAAAAAAAATGGTTGAAATAACCATAATTTAACTATAATTTATAATCATTTTTTAGGACAACCATAAATTTATAATTGTTTTGATTATATGAATTATAGTAACCTGAACATTGAATTATGATCATAACGACCATAATATGTATTTATTCTACTAATTGTATGGTTATCTTACACATAAATCATATTTGCATATAGTAAATTTTACTATAAAATGTTGTAACTATACATATAAGGTTATTGTTACTAACATTATAGCAATAATAACTATAAAAATGATGCTCCTAACCATAATTATTTTATCATGTAATTATAGTCACAAATACCGATATACTTTTCTCTCAGTGCAAGATTGCCACCGTGTGGATTTTTTTTTAGTTTAATAAATCTTTTTTACAGAGTGAATTTACTTCCTTTAATTTTTATATCTACGAGGAAAATTTGCAATAGGAAATTTAAGAGTAAATAATATAGAATATAGAATATAGAATATAGGATTAAATAATAATAAAATATATAATATAAAAAAAATTTACATCTCATAAGTAAGAAATCAATTTGATAATTGAATCCGATATTAAAAATGTGTAAGAAGTATTTGCAGGAAAAATACTTGTTCTATAAATATTATTGATATTTTTATGATACTCCATTTTTTTATCGAATATCTTCTATCGAATATATTGATGGAATGTTTTAGAGAGTAAATAAGTAGATAAAATGTTTCGATATAGTCTCAATGATGATCCCTAGAGATTCGGGATCTCTATTTCGAAGCGAACTGGGTTGATGTTTAGTATTCTGGTGGCGGAAGCGATACCTACGGAGCAACGTGTAAGTTGATATAAGCATCGCGCTGATAGAGTTAGTCGAATGGACGAATGAATGGTAAGAAGTAGTAGAATAGTTGATAGATAGTGAATATATTATGTATGTTTATAAAGTCGACACTTTCGTAGTTTCTATTATCTTGAAATTTATAATGTGCAAAGTAAAATAAAAATCGATATTAAGCATGCGGGATATTTATAAGTCCTTTATCTAACGTGCATTATGCCAGGAAATCTTCTAAGATGTGTCATATAATACATGAGAGCGTTGAAAATATGTAAAATAAATGAATTTATTTATATTATTATTTTGTCTCGGATATAAATCAAAGTGAAATGTACAATTTATGTTTCCGTGATTATAATTCAATAATTATAATTCAATAATTATATTAGATTAACAAATATAATTACGCGTTTATCATGATCACTAGGCAAACGTACATTAGTTTTAATGGATTGAATGAACAGTATTATTCATTGAAAATTCATGAAAGCAAACTTGGATAGAATTTCGAAAACGATTTATTCCTGATTTAATGTCATTCATCGGTCAGGTCAGCAAAGTCATGACTTTCGCGCTGGATTTCTCGTGGCGCTACATCATTTTGATTTCTTATATATACGTATGTATATTTTTTTAATTATATATCGAACATGTACGTCGTCGGGGATTTGTTATATTATAATTAATAACTATAATTATTTATAATTAATTTGCAAATTGTTAATAATTTCTATATAAAATTTTTTTTTTTTCAAGACTCGATTATTGAATTGCTTTTTCGACTTGTGAAATTTTATGTTTTAAGACAAAAATTATCTGATTTTTTTCTTGAATTGTGATTACGAATGTAACGTTATCAAATGTGACTGTCAGAATTCATTAAATTATTTCTAATTTCAAGATTAGTTTTTTTAGCTAAGTTTTTCTTAGCAGAAATGCGATTATTATAAATATGATTCAGTGTCGAATTAGATGACAGGTGATTGTGTAAAGTATTAGCCAACAACTTATTGTCTTCATCTATATTAGGCCTGTTCTTTTTGATTGAACTTTTGCACCAGTTCATCTTTCTTCCTCTTCTTTCCTCCTGGAGAGAAAAGGAAGAAAGATGAACTAGTGCAAAAGTTCAGCCAAAAAGAACAGGCCTATTATTATATCGTATGAATTTATAACGAGAGGAATCAGGAAAGAGAAGGGAAGAAAAAACAAAAGAAAAAAATCCGAATATGGTTTTTCAGTAGATGTAACAAAATTATCATTGTAGAATCATATTTGGCGAAATTTGATTCAAAAGGCAAATGATAACTAATTTTCTGAAATTTTCACTCGAGCTATTTATACTTTCGGAATTCTTTATATTTTACATACGAGTGGCTACAATTTTGCACTTATTTATTGGTATACCTCTTTTCAATTTTCAGCGTGGCGAAGAATGGCAGGGTCACGAGGGCATATAACGGAGGTGTACGACGACCAGCGCGGTTGGCGGCGCGGGCAGTGTTGCTTTGAGGGGAGTTGAGAAAGGGAGGTTCGTTGGAAAGGGATGGCGAGTGGTAAGCGATGAAGCTGGGGGATGGCGTGCTCTCGACCGGGGGGTGGCGGCGGCGCGCACAGGAGGTGGCAGGCTCTGCTCTGGTGCGTCAGAGCCTGCAGTGAGCCCGGCAGTGAGGCGAAACGTTGGGCTCCGCGCGGGAGTCTCGTGGCCGACCGTTTCTCTCAAGAGTCGGGGTGCCTTTTCCCACGAACCATAATTTACACGCCACGCTATTCCCTGCCACCATCTCCCTGTCTCCTATCCGCCCGAACTCTCTTCCTTCAGCACCCCTTATCGGTTCGTCGCGAAATTTCACGCACTTTTGCAGCTGTTTGCGGTAAAAGCGCGCCAAAATCGTACGGCATGCACGTACGATTTTCGGTAGGCAGCCCTTCTGAAGTAGTTCGGTATAGAAATATTGTGGTTAGATCGTGCGATAGTCATGGGGTTGACAACATGCTTTTTTTGTGCTCTTCCGCGATGATAGAGTTGTCTCGCGGGAGTGCGGATACTCTCCTCCCCTCCCGTGGGTAGCACGCGCTGGATGCTGCAAAACCGGCCGGAAGACTTTAACGCTCTGATCGAGCATCGAGCCGGTCATCGTTTGAAATCACCGGTGATCATAAATGATTCTTTTTTGTTGTGCCAAGATATCCGATTAATTTACGGATTGAAAGTCATAAGTGTGTGATTTTTCAGGTTATTTTTTTAAATCTCTATGTGAACGTCGACAAGTGCAAAAGTTTTAATTTAATTAAGTTGCATTTTTTAAAGATATATATTATTTTAGTAAAAGATATATATATTAAAGAGATATATATATTTTATCATGTCACATTCTCGGAAACGATTTTATGCGACTATAAAATGAATTAATTATATGAAATATTTAATTTCTAGAGAGAGATCGCGAGATATATAATTGTTATCATTATTACATTGCATATACATATACAATATTATGTACACAATAACGTACAGAATAATAAGTTAAATACTTCTTTTGAATCTATGAGGATATCACTATAAATCACGCGAGGCTAAATGAAAAATATAAAAAATTTTTTTCAGAGATTCTGTATAACGATCAAATGTGCGAAAAATGAATGATTTGAAATTCTTGTAGAGATATTCAATGCCAATGTTTTTGAAGAGCTTCTTGATAAAAGGAATTGAAAATCTGCCAGAATAGTGTAGTGTCTTTGAGGTCGAAAGTTCACGAGGACTCCGATTGCGGCTGCTCATACGCGTGATTGATTCTGATGATTTCCAACGTTAACGCTCTATCTAATTTTAATTATTCAATTATATTGAACTTTACAAATTTTTCTATGCATGAAAATTGTATATTTTCTTAGTTTTATTGTTAAATTAACTAATCTATTCCTTTTGACATTCAATTTTATGGTGTTATGTTTTAATTTTAATACAAATATCTATGTTCTATTATTTTGATAGAATAATATTACTCGAATATTTATGATATTTGAAAACGTTTATAATTTATCCGATTAGGTTTATTAAAATTTTAGTTTTGATTAAATTATTAGGTTTATTAAATTTATTAATTATTCTATAAATGAGTTAATATTTTTGAACGGATTTATTTTAATCAGATTAAATTATTACTGTTGACATTATGAATTTCTCGTAAAATTTGATCGAGTAATTATATAAGTTTCGTCTAATATATTTTAATCCATCTAATTTCATTCGAAAAACGACAAGGAGATCGATTGATCACAATAGGTCAAATTCGTTTGCCAAACCTCATAGGATAACATAGGTTCGATGCGGAGGGATGCCGCGTGTGTTTCCCTTGTCCGCGAGCTCTCTCACGCACCGCCAATGCGGCTGAGATCGCGCGATCCCATTGGCTGCTCCCGTGCCGTGGTGTCGGCGATGGGTACATCCAGGTTCGACGCTCGTGTTCGACCGAGGTGGCGAGGTGTACGCGCGTAGATTCTCGCATTTCCTTGCGAGAAGCATTCAACCAGTTAGATCAGGCAGGTGATTACGCGGAAAGAAGAAACGTGGGATTTTTTCGATCGGAACGCTTATCAAATATTAGCTCAAGTAATTATCGATTATATGAATTATCGCGGTAAGTGGTGTCAACAGTTTGTTAGGTTGATTTGCGTACAGTTTATATTTTATTTCAAATTTATACGAATGTGTGACTATGAGTTAGTGCGTTTAGCAAAGAGAACGAGCATTTATGAACTTATAAATTTGCAAAGATTAAAAATCATGGGAAAATACATTAGAAATACAAAATTTTACAATTAGATTTCAAATGTTTGAGAAAAAATTTTGAAAATCATGTCATTAGGAATCCAAGAGGCAATATCTGAGAAAAAATGTGAGAATTAAAATACTCAAAAGATTTCTTATTTAAATTCTTAAGTGTAGAATTTAATAGGATAATATTTAATAGAATGAATTTTAATAGAATGATTTCTAAATTTATAAATAATTGGTCACATGGTATTATATGAATTCTGTATTAATATGAATCTTTCTCAGACCTACAAATCAATAATAACTATTAGTGATTAATTGTTTGAATGATTAATTGTTTGAATGATGTTCGAAGCGAGACAAAGTTGATAATTAATCATTTCAATAAGTTATCAGTAATTGCAATAAAAACCATAATTAGTCCGTAAAAGTCATTATTAACGCTGTGTCAATTTATTGACCAATCAAGACCACTCCTTTTCAAAATTAATATTATATTTCTCTCTCACAAGTTCTGCGTACATGCCGGTCTCGTGCTGGCTCTTGGCCAGTAAATGAAAGAATGCGGGATTGCGAATTTGGGATGGGTAATTGGAAATGATTCGGGAGTGGATTGCAGAGTGAAAATGGTGTTTCTTCAAAAGGAAAGCGCAATTTGTGGCTAATTTATCGTGTGATGTGATTTTGCGGTTATGTGTAGCGAAATGCGATCTGGTACCGGGCATTATCACGCCGGTTGAGGAAAAAACGAATCCTTCGGCTGCTTGTGTCGTAAGGACGACAGGCCTTTAGGCCCTTCAATCACGTTCTGAAAACGGTGGAAAACGGACGAAAGTGCAGTGTACGATATTCTTTCGAGTATCGCCGTCGTCGACTGCACCTGCAGGGGTGCATTGATCCGGCGGTGAGGTGAGAAAGGGGGCGGTAAAGGGAGAGAAGGGCGACCGAGTCGCAGCAGTATCCTGGAATTTGCGCAAGACGTTGGTGAAATGCGGATCGTATCGGATTTATCCTGATTTTTTGGGATTGGTTCTATTGTTAAATATTTCAATTTTTGTGCTATGTTATTTTTACAGTAACACATATTGTTAAGATATCCTCGCTTGACGATAACATCAATATGATTTTACCAAATATTAATGCGTTTTTTAATGAAAAATATTTGAAATTTCTAAGATATAAAAAAATCTTAGGTAATATTAACTTTGTGAATTAGCACTTTCTCATTGATGAAATTATTACAATTGCATTATAAAATTTGTAAACATAATTAAAATGAAATAATAATTGACCAAGATTGATTGTGAATTCAAAGTATTAATCACATTTTAGAAATTTACTTTAGTTGGTTTTATTTATTTGAGAATCTTTTCAACACAAGCAAGGTCGCGATAAACTTCTACCCTTTAAATCATCAAACACATTACTTCCGCATTATATGTCAATGGTCAATTTATCGTACTCCTTACGCTAGAATTCTCCTATATTTTCCTTTGTGTGTGTGTGTGTGTGTATGTACAGTACATGTGGTTAGCTTCGTTTTTTCTTTGTATAGAGTCTTACCATCGCAAACTTGAAAGTTTGCCACAACCGCGTCGTCGGTTGGCGAGCTGGCGAAAAATATGTCTCTAGTAACAAAAGACGTTTAGCAGAGCGACTTATCTCTAACGAAGCCTCGGCCATTATCACATCAATTTCCAGATATTTTTAAGAGGATCAATAATGGACTGTTTGCGGTTCTTATGCATCTGGCACGCGCGCGCCAGCCAACATGCAAGCGCTGTGGACATTTTTTTTCATCTTTCTGCCTCTTTGAAGCGTTCGAGCCTTTGAAGCACGCCTCTTTAACTGCTTAGAGTCTATGAAAAATATGTTACTATCATGTTCATTAAAAGTCGTGTGTGTATTTGAACTGTCAGCAGTTGTGATTAGCTATATAAATTTTCACTTTTTTTATCTTTTGTATTTGGAAATCTTTCACTTAAAAAATTTTTATCATTATTAATTGCGCTTTCTTTTGCTCAGAAATGAATGTATCAAATTCTTTCCCAAATTGGTTTTTTCTCCACTCGTACTGAATTAATCTATCCAATGCTGACTATATAATACACGCATCATAATCAGCATCAGATATTCTTTATGAAGAATATTTCACTTGTATCTTAACTAATTTAATTAAGATTACAAACAGAGTAATTGTCTCATGAATCTTCTTTACATCAGACGGCTGGCGCGTGACGTTTCTTGAGAGGGTGAAAGTAATTCCATTTTTCCCTCCGTTGCAACCGTTTTTTCCGGCTTAGCCTCGTTATTCCGCGATAGCACTTTTATTAATAGCGTGTTGCAATAGAAACTAAATATCCCGTGTCGTTGAATAAACATTTATTTTTCGCACTTTCTATTGTCTTTTAACAAGTGGCTGTCAAGTACGTTAAATCGAACTGTTTTGAAAAAAAACCTATCTACAAATATTGTATATCTTTATGCAACACGAATTTTTCTCATTAAAAATTATATTTTTAAGTTAAACTAAAAATTGTAATTTTATAGTTTCGAAATGTCATGCCTAATATTTATTTGTTAGATAGTCGAATTAATTATTGAAAAAGAAAGAAATTATTTTAAATTAAAGAACTGAAAATGTTTATCTATTAATTAGATTGTTCCATTATAAACGCTGTATATGGCAGAATATGTTTTAACAGCTATATGTAATTATGAAGCTTTAAAAGGTAATCTTATAAGGGTTCTCTTATAATCCTCTTTTGTATTAAAATAGGATAGAAAGAATTTTCTTTTGTAAAAAAAGAAAAAATTAATTTTTTCTTTCATTTTAAATAGTTGAGATTCTTTTCGAGATTGGATTGTTATTTTCACGATGCTTTCATTTAATCTTTAAAAGTGAACAGCTAAAAATAAGACGTTCGGGAGTAGCTCGGGGTTAGAGCTTTATTTAAAAAAAAATTTAGTATCAGGAAGAGAAAATATTGTAAATGTAAGTTTTAATATTGTAAATATATTTAATTTTTAGAGCTGTTATAAACAGTCATTAAAAAATATGTCGTAGATATAAGCAGTACACTGATTTTCAATAACATTAACTCGACATAAGCAATACAATGATTTTTAGTAACAAAAATTTATAGGTCATGATAAAAGTAATTGTTTAAAATTCTAAAAATAAATAAAATTTAACGTAAAATTATTGGAACAAATTTATTGTACATTCTATTATGATGGCTATGTGACGCATTACTCTGTAGCATATGATTGATCGAAATCCAATCGATCAATACTTAAAGAGAACCAATCCCATGAAAAGAAACCTCTTTCTTCGCAAAGTTAAACGGATCTTGACCATTGCTATTACTAAATTCGCCAACCTCCTTTGTTCAGCCAGTGATTTAACATTTGTCAGAAGGAAGAGAAAACATCGAAGAATAGCTCATCAAGAAGTGACGAAAACGACAGTGACGTTTTGAACGTCGCTGTGAGATCAAACGTCAGAAGCGGGGGAAAGCGAGTGCAAGTGCACAAACGGGACGGTGGTGGTGTTCAGGCAGGGAGTGCGGGGCCGGCAAAGCCTTGTGACGAAAACGAAGGATTAGATGGTGGAGGTGCTCGGGGGCCGGGCTAGGGAGCCTACGGGGCCGCACAGGGCACCTCGCACCTACCCAGGGCCAGTGCAGCTGCAGGTGCGCCGTGTGGGCCCCCGCAAGGACATAAAGGTCACCTCTGTGGCCCAGAAAGACTCGAAGAGACACGGAATTTGTGTCCTTGAAACGAGCTCTGAAAAGGGCCAGGTACGTCCCAAGCTCATCGCGCGGTACGTACAAGGCGCGAAGAACGAGAAACTCCCGTCGGAAAAGATTGATCCGACGGGACAGGACGAAACGGAGAAGGAGGACGATAGTCCTAGTGGACGGCCGTTCGCGGCCAGATTCAAGTACAAGTCGGAGCCCGATCCGGGCTCCTGTGTAAGGAGCGAGGCTGGCGAGCGCAATGTGGCAGAGCGGCGGCATGGGCACCCATGCGGCCAACAACCCGTGGATGAAGTTAATGGGCATCGTCCACAAAGAACGGAGACATCACGACTCGGGGTCCACCGCCGCCGCTGCCGCTTCTGGAGTGCAGGGTTCAGCGACCACCGGCAGCAACGATCGGACGCTCAATCAGTGAGTGTATTCAATCTTAAAAATCTCTTCATAAATACAGATTTTATTTTATTATTTAAAATATAATTGTTCAGTATAAATTGTTATTATATATGTGTATATACATATATTTATATATATATAAGAAAATTTTATATATATGTATATACAATTCTTTTTCTTTCTTTCTGTACATGTGTAAGATAACTCCGGTATACACGCCGCACCTATCAGAAACTTAATTTATTAAGTATTATTTACTATGTTTAAAGTAAACGAACTATATCAGTAAAAACTTTGTACTGTTTATTACTATGAAAAAAATATTAGAAATCCGAAATATAATATTTATTTTTCATATTAAGAAATGAACTTTTTGAAACCCTTGCATTTTTGTCGTATATCCTATAGGGGTGGGATATCTGGCTACTCATAGGGGGAAAGGGAGATATGTACGGCTCATGAAAAATTTACAAATAATGCTTATAAATAAGACAAAATGACACAATAACTTATAAAATACGTTTATAAAGTTTTATTAAGGAATAAGAATGATAAATATGTATACGAAGTAATAAATAATAATTACAATCTTCCTACATATATTACAAGTATTATGACATGAGGTACATATTTCATGTAATATATTCATTGCATTTAGTGCACTGAATTCAATCTGCGCACTTTGTATGCTTTGGGCATAAATCCCATCCGCTAAAAATGCCGTATATAATTATTATGAGTTGAATCGATTTGTCACTGTAATACATGTAAATAGCGCCATCATAAATTATAATTTACATAAAATGATTACTATAGGGCGTGTAAAAGACCTAGTGGTTATTTCGTGATACATACGTGTAGAGGAATAAGTAAAGCATGTTTTGTAGCAAAATACAAGTGCTTCGTTTTCGTATTCTTTATTTAGTTTGCTGTCTTGTATATCCAAAACAGGTGGGATATACAAGACAGCAAACTAAATAAAGATTATTACAGTAACAAATCGATTCAACTTATAATAATTTCATTAATATTAACAGTAAGAAACTGAAATCATAACACAATACTAATATAACATAAAGGCATGTAACAAAGTAATTGCGGGAAAATTACCCCCATTCCTTCTATTTTTTCTGACTTGTGCGGCGTAAATCCCAGCACGGCGTATTTGCCGGAGTTACCCTATATATAGTTTAAATTAAATATCGATGAAATGTTATTGAGCTTTGCATCAAGCTGAAATTAAAAATGTTTACTGAGATTCGTCCCGTCGAAAGTTGTCGGTCATAATTCGTCGAAATGACGAAGCGAGTGTAGAATGATTGAAACTCGATAAGTTTGATTTACTCATTGAAGGGTCGACAAAAGTAGATACGGCATATCATTGAGAAAGTAGAAAAGAGTGCAAAGATCAAATTATAGGTTCACTCATTTCCACTCATTTCCATTCATTTTCACTCATTTCCACTCATTTCCATTCTCGATCGAGATACTTAATCGTTTTATAAATTTTTCGCCAGTATTCGAGACTTGCGAAAAGAGTGATTTTTAATTTAATAAATCAATTGTCGAATAGATATTTGTTCGTGATGTGTTATATGACATGAGTCTATTTTTGTTTTGTTATATTTCGATTTCACAACGGATTTTTTCAATTTAATCTTTTGTTTTGTATCTTCCTTGAATTTTTCAACTTGTAGATCGCATTATTATTATTTTAGATTTTAAATTTTAGATGTATAGATTATTTCATAATTAATATATAATTCACATTGAATTATTTAAGCATTAAAGATCCAGTTTTGACCGTTATAGGCCTTTTAATTCCTATTTTTTATTTCATAATTATTGCTAGAAAACTACAAATTAATTTCTATATGTTTTATATGTTAATTTCTATATATTTTATAAAAATATCGCCAGTGCATGATAACATCGAAACAGGGCGAAACAAACAGATTAATAAGAAAAATAGTTTCTATTTCGCTTCTCCATTACTTCCATTGTTCTTCCGTTATTGTTTCCCAGACTTTGTCTGCTATTCAAAGTAACTATTAACATATTGTGTTAGTATACTATCGTCTATTTTCACGATTTGTAAGTTTCTCTGGTCTTCCATTCGTTGTTGTCCTCATTAAATAGATTTATATATTAGTCAAAATGCGCTGGCCAAATTTTCCTCTTAAAATCACACAAATTCCGAATATATGGATGAGATAGACGTAATTATATATATAGCTCATTATTTAAGAACATCTTGAAGTCGCGTTTTTTAAAACATTTATATGTATAACTACGTGTATAAAGTATTTTTTAATTGAGGCTATAACAAAAAGAAGTAAAACGAAAAAATAAATCGAGAACATAGAATGAAATTTTCCCATTTTGTTATCGAGAGAAATGATTGTGTAAGTAAAAAAATCAGTAATATATTTTTATACTTACATTTAAAATTAAAATAATTTTGTACATTTGTTATCAAATTGAGGGCGGAATAAAGACCTAATTACAAACTCTTGATTTTGATAAAAATTAAAATAACTTGTTACTTTTTTATTATACCACAAATGAGAATAATATTAGATGTATATTTATATAATGTCTTTGAGAAGTTATATGTTATAATATTTCTTTATTATAATCAATATTTAAAAAGTTATTTACAATTTAAAAAATGCACTTACAATTAGTCCCCTTTTCCGAATATTGATCATAATATTGTAAGAATCGACAGAAAGAAAAGATTATGAACTGCAGAAATGTTTTTTATTTTCACGTTCTTCTAGAAGAAATACAAAATGAATACGAAATACATTTTACTTTTACTTGTACAAAATAAATTGAAATAATGCTTAATCATCATGAATTTTCGTAAGATTTTTTAACATAAATATGTTATAATGAAAACACATTATTGTCGTACCATTTTCGTTCTCTGGTAAAAATCTCATTAATAATTTTAAATAATTTATGCTCTTTTTCCATAGATTATATCCATTTTCACGTTTTCACCACCACAGGACAATCGAAACACCTTCATATTTAACTAATGTAGGCAACATCAATTCCTTGTTTATTTGCGCTGATCTCCGGAAAAAGGGCCTAAGTAGAATTGTGCCTTTATTCCGTCAATTCCTTCAATTCATCTCGTTAGAGGTTATTAATATTTAATTAAAAACATAACATGCTATTTAATAAAATAATTTAAATTATTAAATAAATTAATATGAGAAATATGTGTAAAATATATCATTTTTCTGATAGAATATTGCTTTCAAACATTATCCAACCTTAAAATTATGTTGTAAATTTTTCATCCTTTTTGAATTATTTTTCTCAAAAATTATGTTTGTATGAAAAAATTTGATTTTACTTTTGTTACTTAATTTTTTATCAGATCCCCTTTTTCTGTTATATCAGCAATTTAAAAATAGTTTTTCTGTATTTATAGTATCTTACAGTAAATTCAGTTGTGTGGATGTACACTAGTGCGCACTAACGAATATTAAAGCCGTTATACTGATTTAATCTAAGTGCAAAAGTGAAGTGCAATATATTTTGAATTATAAAATACATATTTTATTTAACAGTACAATAAAATGTATTAAGGATTTAATTGTTTAACCCGTTTCTATATATTTATATTAAATCTTTACGGCAATTTGTGTACGACAGTTTTAATATGCACTAGTGCGCACTGAGTGCGTCCAATTGAATTCGCTGTTAAATTTATTTTCACTCAAATGCAGTTTGTATAGTAAAGGACACTAAAGGATATGACAACGCGTTTATCGTTTATCGTTATTTAATTTCCGGTTGAGTGGTAGTGAAACGAGGATCATTTCTTTAAAAGTTGTTTTCGATGTTGACGAATGTTATGTTCTTCGGACAGATGGGCGATTTCTATAAGCAGTTTTATCTCGCCAAGGAATTTCAGCGATGGCGGAAAGACGTTGAGGAATGCCCTTATGCCTAGGGATTCTTGGGATCACACACGGTTTTAAACAGCTCAGCAAAAGCGAACTACATGATAAATTTCGGGATATTGGCACACATTTTCATTTGCTGTCGAAGAATATCGTCTATTTTTTGTTATATAGTAATATAAATATGCTTATCAGTTTCGTTTTACATTGAGTAATAAAAACAGTAATTTCGAAAAATATTATTTATCAGAAATAGAATACAAAAATCGGTGGTTTATATACTAATTCGAAACACATTATGTAGATACATTCTAAATATCAAAAAAATAACTTTGCTAAAAATTTTTTTCTTAAAGTAACTTAACTTGAATGCTCGCGAACTAAGAACTTAATTTTATTTTAATTATTATTTAGCGATAGTTGGTGGAATGAGAATACAATGTAAAAACTCCGTTTTCTTTGACGATTGAAGCGTGATGCGCGGGCGGATTGATATCGTAAAGAAAGCATGGCAAACGAGACCACAAGAGGAGAATGTGCGCTCTTTTCTTTTCGCGCAAAAAGCGACTTGATCGTCGCATCATGCCATATGAAATATCGCGAAAGCGTTTTGTAATATCTCTCACTTTTTTTAACTCATATATATATTTATAACTATATGTTTTCGTTAACATAATATTTCGTAATATTAAGACAATATTATGTTAATGGAAATATTTTAGCATTACTAAAAGAACTATGCAAAGACAAAGAAGAAAGACTGTTAGATTATGCTATCATTTACTACATCATAAGTCAGCACGATAGATGCCAACAACAGATTCGCTTAAAATGTCCGACAACCGATGAATTTGTCCCATTTCGCGGCCGGAAATTGAGAGAAGCTAGAAAATCACATTTACCTACCTACACTGACGAAATTGAATCGAAACGCGCATCTCTTGTTCTACATTTGTCTCTCATTAGATCTTGGTGAAAATCTATGTGCCTGTCCACATCATCCTTAACTTCATTGGTGAATTGTTATTGTATTTTTCTACAAACTGTTTCAAACTCATCGCTGCAAGGTTTGTCTCGATTTAATGTTCGTTTATTTTACGATCGACAATAATAATATTAATGGAATACAAATAAATTACACAATAGAGAGGCTTTAAAATATTATTAAATATTAATTGTATTGCTCCAAGAGCGAATCGCTCAATTTAAATAAATCAATTTTTGTTAATAATTTATTTAATAAGAATTTAATATGAATCTTTACTGAAGACTGCAAATTTAAGAACAGTACATAGAGGAAAAGATTTCCAATACTATTATTACCTACTATTCTATGGATCTACCACAAAATAGAATCGATATAGGCCAGGGATAATCATATTTATTGTTAACAGAGAAGTATTATTTTTATATTATTCTCTTAAATGGAAAATTCTTAAATCTAGAATAAAATGATCTTGAATAATGGTTTTGTGCCAAATACTATAGCGCCAGCATCGTGCGTTATTACAGAAACGAGTAAAGATTTATTTTCAACGAAAGAATACATAAATTTAAATTTATATATGTTATTCTTGTCTCAAGATAACCTTATTTAATTCGAGAGAGAAGAATAAGAATTGGAAACATCACCCGAGTACTCCTGTGCATCGTTTTATTCTTGTTATTCACCCAATGTTAAACCAGAATAAGATGATACATGGGGCATTCAGGTGGTTTCCGAACGCAGCCTCGGACTTCTATAATATTCAGATTTTTCTTTAAAGTATTCTTTTTGTAATAAGTAAATTTTGTTCAATTTTCTTGAGAGTAGGATAAAGTCGCTTATTATGAGGTAGGCTCCTAATATGAGATAGCGAGATTTCTGCTCTAAACTAATAAGCGCATGTGTTTGGTTCTATCATGAACTTTTTTTGTTAGTGTGAAACCTGTTTAGAAAATTAAGATTGTGCGCGTTACCTCAAAAAAGTAACATGTTACCGTTACTTTTTGAAAAAAGTAATTCGTTATCGTTACCGTTACTTGAAAAATAACTATTCATTACTTTTTTGTTACTTTTTTTTATAATGCTAAAGTAAGTTATAAGATTTTAAAATTACATTAGCTAATAATTAATTTAATATTAAATGTGAAATCAATATTCAAATTTGAAACTCTCTACTAACAAGTTTGTATATAGAGCAAATTTTTCTCTATATTAAACTTATCTACAGTTTTACTAATTCTTTATTTTCTTAATATCATTATTTTAATGTAGGGGAGCGAGGGACATGTTGTAATAATTTTCAGAATATTGTATATATTATGAAACCTATCAAGCATTTTATAACTATAATTACTTTTATCGAGAAATCAATCATTCATACGATAAATCAGAACAGAAAATATTAAAAAGTATCTACACGTTTTCCCCACAACATGCGTTTTATCAAAAAGTTGTTACAATTTGCCCCGTGTTTGGGGCTAATTGTAACAGCAATGGGGCAGGTAGTAACAATAATTGCACAGTCGTGACCCCTGTTTTGTCAACGTTCCATATGCTGGAAGGAGTAAATTCATACTTTTGGAGTAACCTTTGATACTTTCCAAAAAAATCGTTAACATTGGTTTTATTGAAAGATGTTGCTCGACTTACAAGGGAACCTCTCAAGGTGTCAAATTCTGATTTTAATGAAACTTTGTGAACTTGTAGCTTACATAAAGAGATGAATTTAGAAAATATCAGTTGCTGCTAAAAAACGGTTTGAAGGGATGAAATCACCCCTTACATGTACAGCGGTTTTCAGCTTTTTTCGTTATATCTCGAAAACTATTTGAGATATAAAAAAATGTTTTATACAAAAGTTTTACAACAAAATGAGCTGTATTCAATCGCGTTTTTAGAATAATTATTTACCAATTTTTTTTTCAAAATTTCCGAAAAAAATTGTTAAATAATTATTCTAAAAAAATATTATTGACGTGAATAAATAGAAGTAATTTTATTGTAAAACTTTTGTATAAAACATTTTTTTATATCTCGAATAATTTTCGAGATATAACGGGGAAAACAGAAAATCGCTTCACACATGAGGCCTGATTTCACCCTTCAAACTCTATGTTGGCAGCAATATTCAGAACTTTTTAAAAAAATTATTATTTTTAAAAATATTTATGATAGATAGATATAATTTTATTATAAAGCTACTTGTACAAAAGAATATGATAAAGATAAAGAAAATGATAAAATGCTATCATTTCCACACCACCATCATGAGGTAGACAGCATGGTGCGCTTTTTTTATAGTGGTTTCCCCAGTAGGCCTATTCCACTCTAATTTTTTTATGCACGAATTATTCCAAATGCCGTCATTCCTCCATTGACTACTTTGGAACGTTTAAAAAATGTGTTTAAAAAGATATATTATTATTATTACATAAAATATATTCGCGCGAGTAATATTTAAAAAATGCTTATCAAAATATTGTAAAATTACAATATACTTCTCCTCATTTTCCTCAATATGTCACTAATTTAATAATGCACAGTTAAATAATTTAACTCAAGAAGATGTTTTAATTTGACTCTATAATTTATTTACTTACATACGTTAATGTGAACGTTACTTATGTTGAAATAAGTACAGAAATAGATTGATTAATATTTTGATACACATGGAAGTAAAAAGATAATAAAATGTTATTTAACTCAAGAAACTCGGGGTTGCCATTGCTCCTTTGACATCTAACAGTGATGAGTTACAGTATCATATGTTTCTTGTAATGTATAACCACATTTTTTATTATAAAGAGCAATGAATGTATTTATTATAAATTTTAAAACTACTTGTTAATCTCGTTATTAATACTAACATGATTATTATATGACAAAATATTCGCAATTATGATATTTAACATTTTGTCAGTAATTAATATTGTTAACTATTATATATTGCAAAAATTACAAAATAGTAAAGGACTTTTCAACTCAGTTTAGTCCGCTCTATGCCCACGAGCGTTGTCGGGTGAATTATGGGACACCCTGTACATGTAACGTGAATTATATATTTTCAACATTGGCAGTGCCTATTAGAACACAATATAAGATATTAAGTACAAAATATTTTTCAAGAAATTAAGAATAAATTATAAAATAAGAAAATAATAGGGAACTAAAGTAACGGCAAAAGTAGCGGCTAAATTCGTTACCGTTACTGTAAAAATGTAACGACGTTACCGTTATCGTTACAGATAGAAAAAAATAACGATCGTTATTTGTATCTGTAACGATAAAAGTAACGGTTACAAGTAACGCGTTACTTCCCAACTCTATAGAAAATTCATTATTAGATTATGCGTGTCGTCGTTGCAAAAAAGATTTGTGAAATTAGATATTGTTAAATTTTATTGAGGTTAGTCTTTAAATTTTTTTTATGTAAAAATAAATATTAGGTAATAAAGTCTGCATGCAGTGATAGAGTAAGATCGTATTGATAGAAAAACACATGATATAATGATTTGTTTAACTGTAAAGATTAGATTTGGTGATCTTGAAATCGCAAAGCGTGGAAGTTGTAATATGAGATACGCAGCTTATTCCTAATTAATATGAGAGCATATTAACAATTCAATATCCCAAAGCATACTATCGAATGATATATTAAATGACGATTCTATTATTGTTGAGATTTCTCATACACACACACACACACACACACACACACACACACACACACACACACACACACACGCACTAACGCGCACACACACACACACACACACACACACACACACACACACACACACACACACACCGAAAAGTTATAATTATTATGTATAACATTTAAATTTTTTGTTCCTACTTTTATGTAATATAATAAAAGCATGTGTAAAAAACTTATTTTTATTTTTTCCTTAATTTCCTGTTATGATATGAGATATTACCTCGTGAGGAAACCCTTGTATCTCATATTAGGAATCCTTTTTTGAATGATCAAATCGGCACTTTTAACAAAAAATGTCACATACAACAAAGTATAGCTATTACCGACTGTTAATTTTTGATAATAAA